GTAGTCGGATGCTGGCTCGCGCGGACTGCGCGCACTAATCAATATGGAGGGGAGTCTATTCGAAGCTCGGTAGGGGCTCGTTTCAAGCACCGAGGGGCGGCGGAGGGAGGCATATCTGGTGGCCGATGCTTTCGCCAGCAAACCTCACCGTGTCAGCCTCCGCTCGTCGAACCCCGAACAAAGCGGGGCGCCGCGCAAAGGGAAGAACCGCGCGGCTGATCTAAGAGCCATTCAGTTTGTTCGTTTCGATCGTCCGACGGCAGAGGAGATTATTTTTTTCGAAGCCGTCGCTGGAAGACCGAGGAGCCGGCGGTGGGGTTGGAACGAAGGGGTTGCCGGCGAGGCGGCGGGGTGCCCGAGGGTCCGCGCAGCCCTCGCGAGAGCGTCGCCCGCCTCAGTTGGTATCGCGACGTGCTGGCGTCCGTACCGCGCACTCTCCGCCCCGCGGCTCGAACTGGGTCAACCCCTGTGCCGAGGGCTGCTCGCCCCCGCGAGAGACACTGCGAGGCCAGTTGCGAGGCGCGCGCGCGACCATACACACCACGGCCCGACCACCGGACACCCGGGAGAAACGTGCTACGCGTCGCCGTCGCCGCCGCCGCCGCCGTGCCACCGAACCGTCGCGGAAACGATCCCGGTCGTTGGTGACGTCGCCGCTCGACGATCGACGAGTTCGACGCGGATGCCGGCGAGCGGAGGGTCCAGCCGCTGAGGACGTGGAGGCTTCCCTGTCCACGAGGAGCGCGTTCCTCGCGAATGGTAGACGAGATTTTTGCGTCCGCAGTTAGTTTTTCACGATTTGAGGTTTTGGGCTTCGAGTTGGGATTTTAAGGGTGGTTTCGCGATCGGAAAGGCACTCGGATCACGGGTCGGACGACTCGGGAGGTTCGCTGACGGGATCTAGGGTGCTCGGCAGCTGAACGATCCCTTTGTCCGCGCGCCGATGGGTTCCTCGCGAGAGGCGGACGAGTTTTTCACGGATTATTGGGAATAGTTTCGAGTGATCCTCGTCGAAACCGACAGTGACTTTTCATTCGGGATTTAGGAGGGTCGTCGAGGAGGACGCTCGAGGACCGGTGATCGGTTCAGGAGAGTTCGGCAGTCGGAAAGTTTTTCTCCTGCGAGTGCGTCGAGTTGAAAGCTTGCCGCTTTCGGTGGTTTCAGTGACAGCTTTGACGAGGGTGGACAACCCTTGTCCGGGGGACGGAGGGGCTGTCGAACTTCTATTAGCACTTGGAACTTTTCTGTTCGGTAGCGGACGTTTTTAAGTGACTTCTCGGGTCGATTGCGATTATGAAGGTGGATGATTAATGAGTATTTCAAATCTTACATGTTATATGAAGACTACCTTTCGACATTGTTTCAAGGATTCTGATGATTACACAGTGGAAAGTGTCCTCGACCCTTAGCACTCCAGATGGTTTTGTAATCAGCAACGCGACTAATTTTCATGGTATCTGTGAAAATGAAGAATATAATATCCCTTCGTTTATATTTCTTCACAATCTGGATGTGTGGGGAATTTAATAATAGGTAGTTAATTAAAATATTTGATATAACTGGTGCAGTATTGGAGCCTACAAAGTTCGAAAGGTTAAAGTACATCGAATCAACTACCCGTCTTCAAGCTTTTACCTTTCGTCCCGTAATTCCAAATCCAACTGCTCTAATTCAACGTACCCTAACGTCTTCAGAGAAGTGTCAGAGTGCATTCGATATGCACGCTCCGAGCATCCCACTGGAGGTCAACCATTCTCAGGATTTATTCCCAAAAATATACCACCCACAATTCAGATGTGTGGGAAATCTAATAATAGGTAGTTCATTAAAATATTTGATATAACTGGTGCAGTATTGGAGCCTACAGAGTTCAAAGGGTTAAACTACATCGAATCAACTACCCGTCTTCAAGCTTTTACCTTTCGTCCCGTGATAATCAACGAATCATTTCGTAATTCCAAATGCAATTACTCTAACTCTAATTCAACATGCCCTAACGTCTTCAGAGAAGTGTCAGAGTGCATTCGATATGCACGCTCCGAGCATCCCACTGAAGGTCAACCATTCCCGGGATTTATTCCCGAAAATATACCACCCCCAATTTGTCTTCGCGTGAATGGATGCTTCCGGTCGGAAGGGGACTCAGTGGGAGCTAGTTATCTCCGGTCGTCCAGCGGACAGTTAGCCTATCCTTGACTACCAAAGGAGGTCTGACCTTCGGGCCCGAGGTTCTTTTTCCCCGAGTTGACTTTCCGGCGTCGGGGAGCCACTCTTTTGAACTGGCGTTCATCGAGGCGTGCACCGGCCCGGCCCGCGAGCTGAATTTTCCCTCGCGGATCCGACTCGGACCCTCCTTTTCACGGCTTGATGGGAGGAGAGGCTTCTCGGGAACATTTATTCAGATTTTTATTTGAGCGGAACACACGGCAGTTTGTTCAATCCAATTCACTCGAGTAAATCACGTTTATCGGCCGCCGTTCCGTCTCCCGCGTTAATTCGCGATGAATATTCTCGAGCATAAATTTGATTTTCTGAATTTCAACACGTGGGAAATTCAATTGTCCTTTTTAACCGGTTAACTCTGTTCGACGAGTATACGCGCCATCTTAACACTAGGTTTGCATTTATTGTACAGTTTATTCTATTGTTCCTGGGGATGTTGATATTCGTTCGTTTAGATTTTGGAAATTGTAGATGTAGAAGTAGACAATCAGGATTCATGTTCGTGTAATTGGATCAACGAAAACCGATTGAAATATTTAGTAAATGATGTTTATAAAATACAATCTGCGTCGAATTGACGCGTAAACCTAGTGTTAAAACTCTTAATAGTGCTAACTTTTTCAACGATGGATTGTTTATTCTTTCAGACAAACATGTAATTCTTCGTTTCGCTTTAGTTTTTCGTTAGGATTCTTTGAAATGTACCAAACCTTCAACAGACGAAGCTAAATTATACATCAGTTGCTGAAATAATAGAAAGAAAGGGAAGTACGTGCCGATTACTTGATATTCGACTAATTAAAGCACTGGTTCGCGACTTAGTCTTCCAAATACAAAAATTTCATTCTGCTGAAATGCCGACCTTCCGCAAAGGGTTAACAATTTTTTTTTATTCAATCTAATCGAAACGCGTAAAAATTGAATCTAATACAGAGAGTTTTCCAAGCACTCCTTATTTATTTAGTACTTAAATTATATCGATTCATCCAGCGTTATCTATCGAAACACGATACAACCTCTGAGTTCCAGTAGAAAAATTTATGAATCTACTTATCTATCAATACACCAACAGCAAAGAGACAAAGTGAATCATGACAATACACAACTCGATATATTCGAAGCTTCACATCGCACACTTCGAATCTCCCCTCGAATCTCCTTGGGATCTCTCGGAATTCACTTTGCGAACACGATGAAAAAGCGCGGGGGAGCTGTCAGGCCGGTGCCATCTGTCATGGTCAAGATTTACGGCGGGATTCGGGGATAGGTTTCTCTGTCGTTACTCTGAAAAGAATGTAGAGCCACCGCCGGAACTTTGTCCGCGCTCCCTTTCCACCTCGCTCGGATGTTTCGTGCTGCAAAGACAGTCGTTTGATTAATAGCCAGCCGTTCCTCGCTACCGGTTTTCCCTTTTTCCTATCTTTTTTTTCTTTCTCCCTCTTTCTTTCTTTCTCCACGAGGCAAGATTCTCTCGCGGTATTAAAAGCGAACTCCGCGAGTCCTGCGGTGACTCGCAGAGACGTACGACGAAAGGCATAATCTCTCTGATGGAGCTCCGTTCGCCGGGAAACTACTTTCAATCGACGGGAGAATGGGCCCGGCTGCATTTTCAGATTGCCTGATTCTTGCCGCGGACTCGGCGAACGGGGCTGGTACCTTTTTCTTGCACCTGGGACACGGTTCTTTCGGAAATACACTTTTCGACGGGGCTGCCGCAGCTCGGATGTCTAGCGGAAAGTTGCGATCCGCGGCTCGCATTTGCTTGAAACGGGATCTAAAGAAAGTGCTGTTTGCTCGTCGACGGACCGGCGGGAGCGGCGCGAGGGGAGTTTTAGGTATAGCGGAATTCGCGCTGGAATATTTAAGCTTGAATCTAAGCGATGGAGCACTTGAATTTGATGCCTGTGATTCGCTTGTTTGCGCGGCGAGTGGAATTGAATGGCGAATTCTGGAGATCTATGAGTAGGAAAAGTGAGTTTTTCGATCCTTTCATTTTTCGGTTTCTTGGTGTTTTAGTGTTTCAGATTTTGTGTTTCTTGAATTCAGTTTCTAATTTCATAATTTCCTAATTTCCTAATTTCCCAATTTCCTAATTTCTCAATCTTTCAATTTCTCACTCTCTCAAATTCCTAATTTCTCA